ACATAATAGGTCCCGGGACTGTACCTCAACATTACTGAGGTACATAATGGGTCCAGGGACTGTACCTCAACGTTACAGAGGTGCATAATGGGTCCAGGGACTGTACCTCAACATTACAGAGGTACATAATGAGTCCAGGGACTGTACCTCAACATTACTGAGGTATATAATGGGTCCATGGACTGTACCTCAACATTACAGAGGTACATAATGGGTCCATGGACTGTACCTCAACATTACTGAGGTACATAATGGGTCCAGGGCCTGTACCTCAACATTACAGAGGTACATAATAGGTCCAGGGACTGTACCTCAACATTACTGAAGTACATAATGGGTCCAGGGACTGTACCTCAACATTACAGAGGTACACAATGGGTCCAGGGAGTGTACCTCAACATTACTGAGGTACATAATGGGTCCATGGACTGTACCTCAACATTACTGAGGTACATAATGGGTCCATGGACTGTACCTCAACATTACTGAGGTACATAATGGGTCCAGGGACTGTACCTCAACATTACAGAGGTACATAATAGGTCCAGGGACTGTACCTCAACATTACTGAGGTACATAATAATGGGTCCAGGGACTGTACCTCAACATTACAGAGGTGCATAATGGGTCCAGGGACTGTACCTCAACATTACAGAGGTACATAATGGGCCCAGGGACTGTACCTCAACATTACTGAGGTATATACTGGGTCCATGGACTGTACCTCAACATTACTGAGGTACATAATGGGTCCATGGACTGTACCTCAACATTACAGAGGTACATAATGAGTCCAGGGACTGTACCTCAACATTACAGAGGTACATAATGAGTCCAGGGACTGTACCTCAACATTACTGAGGTATATAATGGGTCCATGGACTGTACCTCAACATTACTGAGGTACATAATGGGTCCAGGGACTGTACCTCAACATTACAGAGGTACATAATAGGTCCCGGGACTGTACCTCAACATTACAGAGGTACATAATGGGTCCAGGGACTGTACCTCAGCATTACAGAGGTACATAATGGGTCCAGGGACTGTACCTCAACATTACAGAGGTACATAATAGGTCCCGGGACTGTACCTCAACATTACAGAGGTACATAATAGGTCCCGGGACTGTACCTCAACATTACAGAGGTACATAATAGGTCCCGGGACTGTACCTCAACATTACAGAGGTACATAATAGGTCCAAGGACTGGCCCTCAAAATTATGATAGCAGAACTAGTTACAAAGGTAATGAACTCCAGATAGATCTGGTCACAATCATGACCAGTTACAAAGGTAATGAACCATTTACACGTCCACACCCGGTCACAACTGGAACGAGTTATTACTGGAAATATTGGGTCACACACACGCAGGTGAGTACACACACACACACAACACACACACACACACACGCAGGTGAGTACACACACACACACAACACACACACACACACACACACACACACACACACACAAAACACACACACACACACACACACACACACACACACACACACACACACACACACACACAGCAAGATCGGACCTTGTGTTCACCCTGGGCAGCTCAGACATTGAGGACATCAAGTATGAGAGTCCCCTAGGAGCTAGCGACCACGTGGTTCTGTGCTTTGAATACATAGTAGAGCTGCAAGTGGAGAGAATAACAGGAGTTGAATGGGAAAAGCCTGACTATAAAAGAGGGGACTACATAGGGTTGAAGAACTTCCTGCGGGAGGTCCAGTGGGACAGAGAACTGGCAGGAAAGCCAGTAAATGAAATGATGGAATATGTAACAACAAAATGCAAGGAGGCAGTGGAAAGGTTTATTCCCAAGGGCAACAGAAACAACGGGAAGACCAGAACGAGCCCCTGGTTTACCCGACGGTGTAAGGAGGCAAAAACAAAGTGCAATAGAGAATGGAAAAAGTACAGAAGGCAGAGAACACACGAAAATAGGGAGATCAGTCGCAGAGCCAGGAATGAGTACGCACAGGTAAGGAGGGAGGCCCAGCGACAGTATGAAAATGACATAGCATCGAGAATCAAGACTGACCCGAAACTGTTGTATAGCCACATCAGGAGGAAGACAACAGTCAAAGACCAGGTGATCAGATTAAGGACAGAAGGTGGAGAACTCACAAGAAATGATCAGGAGGTATGTGAGGAGCTGAACAGGAGATTTAAGGAAGTTTTTACAGTAGAGACAGGAAGGGCTGTGGGAAGACAGCACAGAAGGGAACATCAAGAGGGAATATACCAACAAGTGTTGGATGACATACGAACAACTAAGGAGGAGGTGAAGAAGCTCTTAAGTGACCTTGACACCTCAAAGGCGATGGGACTGGACAACATCTCCCCATGGGTCCTTAGAGAAGGAGCAGAGATGCTGTGCGTGCCTCTAACCACAATCTTCACCACATCCCTTGAAACTGGGCAACTACCTGAGAAATGGAAGACAACTAATGTAGTCCCCATATTTAAGAAAGGAAACAGAAACGAGGCACTAAACTACAGACCTGTGTCTCTGACATGTATTGTGTGCAAAGTCATGGAGAAGATTATCAGGAGGAGAGTCGCCGATCACCTGGAAAGGAACAAGATTATAAATGAAAACCAGCATGGGTTCATGGAAGGCAAATCCTGTATCACAAACCTCCTGGAGTTTTATGACAAGGTAACAGAAGTAAGACACGAGAGACAGGGGTGGGTAGATTGCGTTTTCCTAGACTGCAGGAAGGCCTTTGACACAGTTCCCCACAAGAGATTAGTGCAGAAGCTGGAGGATCAGGCGCATGTAAAAGGGAGGGCACTGAAATGGATAAGGGAATACCTGACAGGGAGGCAGCAACGAGTCATGGTACGTGAAGAGGTATCACAGTGGGCGCCTGTTATGAGCGGGGTCCACAGGGTCAGTTCTAGGACCAGTGCTATTTTTGATATATGTGAACGACATGATGGTAGGAATAGACTCTGAAGTGTCCCTGTTCGCAGATGATGTGAAGTTGATGAGAAGAATTAAATCGGACGAGGATGAGGCAGGACTGCAAAGAGTCCTGGATAGGCTGGACATGTGGTCCAGTAACTGGCTTCTCGAATTCAATCCAGCCAAATGCAAAGTCATGAAGATTGGGGAGGGCAAAGAAGACGCCCGACAGAGTAAAAGGCTAGTGGACAAAGACTACAGACCTCACTCAGGAGAAAGACCTTGGGTGACCAAAACACCGAGCACATCACCGGAGGCACACATCAACCAAATAACCGCTGCAGCATACGGCGCCTGGCAAACCTAGAAAAGCGTTCCCATACCTTAATAAGGAATCGTTCAAGACACGTACACTGTGTATGTTTAGGCCCAATACTGGAGTATGCAGCACCAGTCTGGAACCCACACCTGGTCAAGCACGCAAGAAGTTAGAGAAAGTACAAAGGTTTGCAACAAGGCTAGTCCCAGACTCAAGGGAATGTCGTACGAGGGAAAAGGGTTTAAAGGGGAAAACGGACTGACGACACTGGAGGACAGAAGGGTCAGGGAAACATGATAACGACATACAAGATACTGCGGGGGAAAAGACAAGGTGGGCAAAATAGAATGTTCCAGAGAGGGGACACAGGAACAAGGGGTCACAACTGGAAGCTGAAGACTCAGACGAGTCACAGGGACGTTAGGAAGTATTTCTTCAGTCATAGAGTTGTCAGCAAGTGGAATAGCCTAGCAAGTGAAGTAGTGGAGGCAGGAGCCATACATAGTTTTAAGAAGAGGTATGATGAAGCTCAGGAAGCAGAGAGAGAGAGGATCCAGTAGCGATCAGTGAAGAGGCGGGGCCAGGAGCTGAGTCTCGACCCCTGCAACCACATTTAGGTGAGTACAATTAGGTGAGTACACACATGTGGTAATGCTTTATTTACAGCTAGCAAAGTCAGGGTATTTCTCGAAAATGGTCTGTAATATACCACTGTGGACAAAACACTTCACCATACACCAACAACACACTAAGACAATATTTCCAGTATTCTCCCTCCACCAACTGGACAATATCACCAGCATTCTCCCTCCATCAACTGGACAATATTACCAGCATTCTCTCTCCATCAACTGGGCAATATTATCAGTATTCTCCCTCCATTAACTGGACAATATTACAAGTATTCTCCCTCCATCAACTGGACAATATTACCAGTATTCTCCCTCCATCAACTGGACAATATTACCAGTATTCTCCCTCCATCAACTGGAAATCTTGCCTTCCCTTCCAACATGTCAGCTCTGCATCTCTCTCAGTAATGCTATTTCCGTGTCGAAAAATTAAAAGTGAACTCTGTGTGTCACTTTATCAACCACAACAAACCGAGATGTTGAAGGAACATGACAAAAAATATTACAAACTAGCCAGTTCATAGATTTTGTTAATGGTGAATATAGATAATTTTCTACGGTAGTTTTGGAGCAATACCATATTCTCGATCTGTCCGACTAAATCATGCTGTGTACGATCTTTCCAGTGAGCAATATTATTGGCCAATTTGGTCAATTTAAGTACAGTAGACCCCCGGTTAACGATATTTTTTCACTCCAGAAGTATGTTCAGGTGCCAGTACTGACCGAATTTGTTCCCATAAGGAATATTGTGAAGTAGATTAGTCCATTTCAGACCCCCAAACATACACGTACAAACGCACTTACATAAATACACTTACATAATTGGTCGCATTCGGAGGTAATCGTTATGCGGGGGTCCACTGTATTTAATATTAAGTTAAATCTGACACATTTATTTATGCTCAGATCAATTTCCACTAATTTTTGACAAAAAAAAATTCATTTTGCTAATTCGGCAAAGTAAATCCTTGGTAAACAGGGTAAACTGCACAATTCAGCTTCTCGTCAATGCCGCTTTAATTATTAATAAATATAAATCCATATTGTATGTCCTTTCCTCTTTTTAAAGTCTTCCTGGCCCAAACTGTTTGAAATTTTCTTTTCACTTTTTTTTCAGAAAAAGTGAAATGTTTGGTAAGAAGAAAAAGGTGTCCAAGATGGACGCCGATAAAGGTGATACAGACAAAGGCAAGAACGATGCTGAAGCTGGTTCCTCGGGCGCTACTAACACTCGGGATCAACTGGGAAAACTGCTGAGGGATCACCGAGGATATCTATATGATTTAGACGACGAGGATCTTTTAGCCAGCGATCCAAGGGACCTTCAGGACACCAAGATGGATTCAGATGAATCTTTTTACAGGAAGAGACGAAACCTTGAGTTCTCCATGATGATGATGGGTCGATACTATGATCCCTTCCAGGGGCATAGAATGTGGGGCAAGCACTATAGACATGGTGAAGAGTTAGATGAGCATACTTTACAGCAGCTGAGATGGGCACCACCAGTCATGGTGGAACCTGAGGCATTTGAGGACGAGAAACTGCTGGGTATTGAGGACCACGGGGATGTGGTCACTGATGCTGCACTTTACATCCTCAAGGAGAAGGTCAGTAAATTGCTATGATGGTCAATAATATTTGACCTAGTCTCTTTATTTTCCTGGGTCCTTTGTCTTCTATACATTTTCCATTCTCTAGCACACTTAGTTTTTGCCTCCCTACACCTTTGGATAAACCAAGGACTTGTTCTGGTCTTTACATTAATGAGGGAGTCTTAATGCCAGTGAAGGGATTTTTGGGCGAAGGAATTGGAGATAATCTCCCTTTCCCTGGATCAAATCTAATTATCTTCCATACCTCAGGTACCTTGTGATCCCATAAGGGTTGTATGATCGTGGTATCATGGGTTGATCATTTTGCCATAATTAGAGCAATATGTAGTACCTGTGTTATTGAAAAAAAATTTTTTAGCATATTTTAATCAGTAATACTTATAGGCACTAATGTAATTTAATCATTACTGTCTCTTATATCCAGAAAGATGGTGAAGTGAAGATCCATTCGATGCTACAAATGCCATCTAACATTACGGAATTGTTGGAAGGTACAAACAAGGACTACTACGAGACTAACACATTTAACATACTTATGGCAGATGTTTCATGCTCAATGTACTGCTATTGGAAACCTTTAGTAAATAGCTGGAACGAGCATATAGCCCCTTGTTTGGTCGGACGCACAAATCTGTATACATTTGGTAGCAAGGTTACATTCAAGAGGTCGGGGACGATATTAGAATTTAGGGACATGGATGGCAGTAGCACCGACTTAACTGGCTCGCTACAGACTATTGTAGACGAGGTTTACAAGTGCAAGGAGAGGTATGTCAATGTTTTTCTTGTGACAGATGGGCATCATAACTCCACTGAGGTTAAACCAACCAAAGTTATTTACCAAATGAATGCTGCAAAGGGTAAAACATGTGATGTGTTTGTGTTAGGTGCAGGCACTGACTTTCCTGTGCAATACAGCATCAACATTAGATCACGCTTGCATAATGGCAGAGCAAATCTTCCCTCTCTTTTCTGGGCCAAAAGTGAAGACGATGTGCCAGAACAGATCAAACAGATTGCCAGTATAATATCTGAGAGGTCTTCAAGGTGCATAGAGCTATCACTACCTGGGTATTATCTGCCAGATGGGGTACAAAAGAACTTCTTCCACCTGAGAGAATGGGTATATTTTCCCTCTGGGCCAGAAGCACTACAACGACTAACACTCAAATTTGGCAGACATATTTGTCACATCTCACTGGAACCTCGGGAGATGCGCCTGTCGATTCTGAACGATGTGTTTCGTCAGTGGAACTCTGTTATCATCCAGAATCAAAACAAGAAAGAGAGAGTTCCTCTAGGTGTGCTACCCTTCATGGAATGTCTCTTTAACACACAAATAGATGCAATGAAAGATTTAAAATCAGGAACAGTCAAGGAGCGTCTTTCGCGCAAGGAGTTCAAAATGTATGAAACAGACTTCAGAACACTGTTCAATAAGATTAGGGATATACTAACAACTTTTAAATACAAAAATGAATTAGAGCTGGCAGAAAATATTCTGAGCACAACAGTTGGAGGTGGAAAATATGAGGTGAAAGCTTTGCAGTTGAAAGGTCACACAGACGAGGATTTTGCAAAGGATTATGAAGATTTTTTGAAGATTTACGAGGAACACAAGCCCAGAATTCTGACGATTAACAATACTACTGAAGATTGTTGCAGATTTACTCACTCATCCACTGTGTCTGACCTCCAGGACCCAGACTTTTCCACTATGATGAGTCGTAGCAAGTATGAATTCCTTAAGGATTTCACTATTTCTGGCATACCAGTGTATGCTCCAAGTAAGGACACTGTAATTATTAATCCCTGGTCATTTAGTGTTCGGTCACTGCTGGATGAGCCATACACGGTCATGAGCCAGGTGGCACTTGAATCCATAGCTGACCAGAATCCTCCAGATACGAGCCAGGAAATGCAAGTGAAGCAAGATGACATTTTGACTCGATGTAACGCCATTATCCCTGTCTTCTCTCCCACTGCCGCTAAAATTATGCAACCAGTAGTTAATACTAGGCTTTATTCAGTGTGCGCGACTTATGCCATATTGAAAAACCCACACATTATAGATTTTAACATACACATGGCAGCTTTGGGTGTAACATGGGTAAGGATACTTTACGAGTACCCAACCATACCCAGACCTGAATTTGTGCGTCGCCGCATTGAGAGTATCGAAGCGACGGCAGCCTTGTACCTCGGTCGATCAAGCTACACAAAATACTGGCAATTGCTCAAGAGTGATGCTGCTCAGGCACTTATGACTGAGAGCACAATAAAGGTGGATAATAAAACACTTAAATGTGAGACGCTTATTAAGCCTATGTTTGTGCTTCATATGTATCAGAGAAGTGAGAACCATGAAGATGCTGGTGTTGTGGCCAACATAATGAGAATGATCCTCTTGGAGTACATCGGTCGCTGCCTCTCTCATTATAAGAAGAATGATAGTCAGGCTACTCCATTCACAGACTTCTTTGCCTACACACTTGCTGATCAAAACCTCAAGAGAGAATGGGTCCAGAATTACATTGCTGAAGCCAAAGAAAAAATAACGGGATGTGAATCCTACCTTTTAGAGAATTTTTACACACTAGAACTGGCTCGGAAAGCGGCCAAAAAATCTGCAATAGAAGAGATAAAAAATCTGAAAAAAGAGTTGACAGCACTGATTCCCATAGTGGTGGAAATGAAGGAGGTGGAGAGGCTGCGCAACCCATCTTTAGCTGGAGATTTATCGTGGTTCACCCTGAAGACCTTCGCCAGAGAGGTTGGATTAAAACAAGAGGTTATTGATGATTTGTTTAGTGAACGAAGTGTGTTTGTGTACACTGCTCATGCACTGCGGAATAGGTCTTCTAGAGAGCGACTGTCTACCCCAATGGGAGACTATGATGAAAATTATGCTCTAGTAACAAAGAGTGTGCAAGAGGAGAATTATCGGATTATCGCCAAGGAACTTATTGGTAAAATAATAAATCAGCTGGAAGATGTCTGGTTAATAGCACATGGTGATGCCCACGGAGAAGTGGTACAGCCGATGACGAGGCAGTTGATCCTGGCAGAGGCTCAGAAACGAGCAGTTGATGTCACAGATGACACCTTCGATAAGGTCTACAAGAAATACCGTCCTGATGTTGGTCTGTTGAGTAACGCCTGTCAGTGTCGAGCTTGTCCATACTTCCTGATACCCAACAAGCGTTATAACCAACACTCGTCCGTAGAACGTCGTCAGACTTCGATGTTCCCCCATGGCTTACACCGTGCTGCATACAACCACAGAGAAAGTGACCTACCCACTCTTATCTCGTCTCTCGAGTCCGGATCTTTCAAAACACCTGTACCACGTCAAGCTGTTGAACCTTTCACAGAGGACTTAGAGAACTTGCAAAGATTGTATCATGAGGAGAATTCAACAGGACCTTAGACATTCTTTGCTTATTGTTTGTGAATAACTATATTTAACAGAGTGCTGAACTAAAAGGGATATTGGCACCGTATTTTTTTTTCGTCTGATTTTATCCATATTTTCTCTTACATTCTTACTATGTTACATTATAATATATATATACGCGCCCAATGTTTCCACCCTCGCCGGGAATCGAACCCAGACACTGAATAAAATAAAAAGAGAAAAGATGGGGTGGGAAAGAGGTCAAGAAGACCCAGATGATGTAATATATTAGTGTAGGTAAAACAAATGAAGGAGTATCTGCAGAGAGAACAGGTCATTAATATGATCCTATGTGACTTGTCAAGATATCTTATTAATGAAAATAAGATACCAGATATACTAAGCAAATTTCCTAAATTTGCTTGTAACAGATAAGTGAACTATAGATGTAAATCCAAATGTACACCTGTTAAGATTTTTGAGGCCTAGTTTCTAGGCCTAGTTCCTAGGCCTTTTGTGTATCCATATGCTCTTGCGCTACCGTCCATAGGATGGATATGGGGTGCACAATAAACTAGCCACTTCGGTGGCAAAATCTAATGTTCAAATCGTTTGTGTTGTACACTAACGGCCACCTTCAAGCCTGGCGACATTGCAGACCTGGAGAGTGTACAAAGAACTTTCACGGTACACATAAGTGCGATAAGGCACCTAAACTACTGGGAACAGTTGAAGGTCCTTGATCTGTATTCCCTGGAATGCAGGTGAGAGAGATACATGATAATATACACTTGGAAGGTCCTGGAGGGATTGATACCAAACCTTCACATGAAAATCACTCCATGTGAAAGCAGAAGACTCGGCAGGAGATGCAACATTCCCCCGATGAAAAGCAGGGGTGCCACGAGTACACTGAGAGACAACACAATAAGTGTCTGGGACCCAAGACTGTTCAACGGTCTTCCAGCATACATAAGAGGGATTACCAATAGACCCCTGGCTGTCTTCAAGACCCCTGGCTGTCTTCAAGACCCCTGGCTGTCTTCAAGACCCCTGGCTGTCTTCATTGATACTGGTTTAAACCCCTCCAGATAGGTTCATTGATGCTGGTTTTAAACCACTCCAGACAGGTTCATTGATACTGGTTTTAAACCACTCCAGACAGGTTCATTGATGCTGGTTTTAAACCACTCCAGACAGGTTCATTGATGCTGGTTTTTAAACCACTCCAGACAGGTTCATTGATACTGGTTTTAAACCACTCCAGACAGGTTCATTAATGCTGGTTTTAAACCACTCCAGACAGGTTCATTGATGCTGGTTTTAAACCACTCCAGACAGGTTCATTGATACTGGTTTTAAACCACTCCAGACAGGTTCATTGATGCTGGTTTTAAACCACTCCAGACAGGTTCATTGATGCTGGTTTTAAACCCCTCCAGACAGGTTCATTGATGTTGATTTAAACTCCCTCCAGACAGGTTCAATGATGCTGGTTTAAACTCCCTCCAGACAGGTTCATTGATGCTGGTTTTAAACCACTCCAGACAGGTTCATTGATACTGGTTTTAAACCACTCCAGACAGGTTCATTGATGTTGGTTTTAAACCACTCCAGACAGGTTCATTGATACTGGTTTTAAACCACTCCAGACAGGTTCATTGATGCTGGTTTTAAACCCCTCCAGACAGGTTCATTGATGCTGGTTTTAAACCCCTCCAGACAAGTTCATTGATGCTGGTTTTAAACCCCTCCAGACAGGTTCATTGATGCTGGTTTTAAACCCCTCCAGACAGGTTCATTCATGCTGGTTTTAAACCACTCCAGACAGGTTCATTGATGCTGGTTTTAAACCCCTCCAGACAGGTTCATAGATGCTGGTTTTAAACCATTCCAGACAGGTTCATTGATGCTGGTTTTAAACCACTCCAGACAGGTTCATTGATGCTGGTTTTAAACCACTCCAGACAGGTTCATTGATGCTGGTTTTAAACCACTCCAGACAGGTTCACTGATGCTGGTTTTAAACCACTCCAGACAGGTTCATTGATGCTGATTTAAGATCTTTTCCCGTGGAACTGAACCTACTCTCTGATAGACCCTGATTGCCTTCCGGTCTCCAGGTACTCTATGACCCTTATGGGTTTAGCGCTTTCCTCTATGAGAAGAAATTTGCAGAACACTTTGACCTAAGAAATATATTTACTAACCACAGAAACAAACTACTAGCATAAACCACATATATTAAACCACACACAAACTACCAACATAAACCACATATATTAAACCACATACAAACTACCAACATAAACCACATATATTAAACCACATACAAACTACCAACATAAACCACATATATTAAACCACATAGAAACTAGCAACGTAAACCACATATATTAAACCACATACAAACTGCCAACATAAACCACATATATTAAACCACATACAAACTAGCAACGAAAACCCACATATATTAAACCACATACAAACTGCCAACATAAACCACATATTTTAAACCACATAGAAACTACCAACATAAACCACATATATTAAACCCACATACAAACAGCAACGTAAACCACATATATCAAACCACATACAAACTAGCAACGTAAACCACATATATTAAACCACATACAAACTGCCAACAAAAAACCACATATATTAAACCACATACAACTGCCAACATAAACCACATATATTAAACCACATACAAACTACCAACATAAACCACAATATATTAAACCACACACAAACTACCACATAAACCACATATATCAAACCACATACAAACTAGCAACGTAAACCACATATATCAAACCACATACAAACTAGCAACAAAAACCCACATATATTAAACCACATACAAACTGCCGACATAAACCACATATATTAAACCACATACAAACTGCCAACATAAACCACATATATTAAACCCACATACAAACTACCAACATAAACCACATATATTAAACCACATAGAAACTACCAACATAAACCACATATATTAAACCACATACAAACTACCAACAAAAAACCACATATTTTCAAACCACATACAAACTAGCAACGTAAACCACATATATTAAACCACATACAAACTGCCAACATAAACCACATATATTAAACCACATACAAACTACCAACATAAGCCACATACATTAAACCACGTACAAACTAGCAACATAAACCACATATCAAACCACATACAAACTAGCAACATAAACCACATACAAACCACATACCAACATAAACCACATATATCAAATAAGTTCAGATAAACCACATCAGTTAAAACCTGTATTAAACTGTCAGTGTTAGAGAACTTCCCTAAAAGTTCCTCGAAGTCCCTACAGGCACCTCAGTTATCACAAGAACTGTGTGGTAAGTGAGAAGGCTACAATTCTGGCGCAGGTTGTTAAAACATGCTGCACGAATGGCATGATCAGGGGGATAATAATGGCATGATCAGGGGATACTAATAGCATGAGATCAGGGGGATACTAATGGCATGAGCAGGGGATACTAATGGCATGATCAGGAGGATACTAATGGCATGAGCAGGGGGATACTAATGGCATGAGCAGGGGGATAATAATGGCATGATCAGGGGGATACTAATGGCATGATCGGGGGGAAATAATAATGGCATGATCAGGGGATACAAATTTGGCATGAGCGGGGGATACTAATGGCATGACAGGGGGATACTAATGGCATGAGCAAGGGGATACTAATGGCATGACAGGGGGATACAAAATGGCATTGACAGGGGATACTAATGGCATGACAGGGGATAATAATGGAAATGATCGGGGGGATACTAATGGCATGATCAGGGGGATACTAATGGCATGATCAGGGGGATAATAATGGCATGATCAGGGGGATACTAATGGCATGATCAGGGGATACTAATGGCATGATCAGGGGAATACTAATGGCATGATCAGGGGGATACTAATGGCATGATCAGGGGGATAATAATGGCATGATCAGGGGGATACTAATGGCATGAGCAGGGGATACTAATGGCATGAGCAGGGGATACTAATGGCATGATCAGGGGATACTAATGGCATGATCAGGGGGATAATAATGGCATGATCAGGGGATACTAATGGCATGAGCAGGGGGATAATAATGGCATGATCAGGGGATAATAATGGCATGATCAGGGGATACTAATGGCATGATCAGGGGGATACTAATGGAATGATCAGGGGGATAATAATGGCATGAGCGGGGGGAAAATAATGCATGATCGGGATACTAATGCTTCATGGGATACTAAGAATCAGGGGATACATGACAGGGATCAATGGCGAGCAAGGGATACTAATGGCATGAGCAGGGGATACTAATGGCATGAGCAGGGGAATACTAATGGCATGATCAGGGGGATAATAATGGCATGAGCAGGGGATACTAATGGCATGATCAGGGGAATACTAATGGCATGATCAGGGGATAATAATGGCATGAGCAGGGGATACTAATGGCATGATCGGGGGAAAAACTAATGGCATGATCAGGGGATACTAAGGGCCCATGAGCAGGGATACTAATGGCATGATCAGGGGATACTAATGGCATGATCAGGGGGATAATAATGGCATGATCAGGGGATACTAATAGCATGATCAGGGGGATAATAATGGCATGATCGGGGGATACAATGGCATGATCAGGAGGATAATAATGGAAATAAATCGGGGGATACTAATGGCATGATCAGGGGGATAATAATGGCATGATCAGGGGATACTAATGGCATGATCAGGGGGATAATAATGGCATGATCAGGGGATACTAATGGCATGATCAGGGGGATAATAATGGCATGATCAGGGGGATAATAATGGCATGATTAGGGGGATACTAATGGCATGATCAGGGGGATAATAATGGCATGATCAGGGGGATACTAATGGCATGATCAGGGGGATAATAATGGCATGATCAGGGGGATAATAATGGCATGAGTAGGGGATACTAATGGCATGAGCAGAGGGATACTAATGCCATGAGCAGAGGGATATTAATGCCATGAGTAGAGGGATACTCATGCCATGAGCAGGGGGATACTAATGTCATGAGCAGGGGGATAGTGGCATGAGCAGAGGGATACTAATGTCATGAGCAGAGGGATACTAATGCCATGAGCAGAGGGATACTAATGTCATGAGCAGGGGGATACTAATGCCATGAGCAGGGGGATACTAATGTCATGAGCAGGGGGATACTAATGCCATGAGCAGGGGGATACTAATGTCATGAGCAGGGGGATACTAATGCCATGAGCAGGGGGATACTAATGTCATGAGCAGAGGGATACTAATGCCATGAGCAGAGGGATACTAATGTCATTAGCAGAGGGATACTAATGCCATGAGCAGAGGGATACTAATGCCTTGAGCAGGGGGATAATGGCATGAGCAGAGGGATACTAATGCCATGAGCAGAGGGATACTAATGCCATGAGTAGAGGGATACTCATGCCATGAGCAGGGGGATACTAATGTCATCAGCAGGGGGATAGTGGCATGAGCAGAGGGATACTAATGCCATGAGCAGGGGGATACTAATGTCATCAGCAGGGGGATAGTGGCATGAGCAAGGGATCTAATGCCATGAGCAGGGGATACTAATGTCATCAGCAGGGGGAATAGTGGCTTTGAGCAGAGGGATACTAATGCCATGAGTAGAGGGATACTCATGCCATGAGCAGGGGGATACTAATGTCATCAGCAAGGGGATAGTGGCATGAGCAGAGGGATACTAATGCCATGAGCAGAGGGATACTCATGCCATGAGCAGGGGGATACTAATGTCATCAGCAAGGGGATAGTGGCATGAGCAGAGGGATAATAATGCCATGAGTAGAGGGATACTCATGCCATGAGCAGGGGGATACTAATGTCATCAGCAAGGGGATAGTGGCATGAGCAGAGGGATACTAATGCCATGAGTAGAGGGATACTCATGCCATGAGCAGGGGGATACTAATGCCATCAGCAGGGGGATAGTGGCATGAGCAGAGGGATACTACACAGACTCATAAAGGTATAATTTTTCCATGAATCTGTTATAAAATGTGTCTTCAGGGAGATGACCTGATGTGGGAGATCTTATGATCCAAGGAAGTAGAGCTATTCTCCCTTTCCATGGATCAAATCTGACTGCTTCTCATTATACAGGTAATCTTCCATGACATAATGATAATCTTAATACATGGAAACCTCTCAAGGTGAAGATTAAAAAATTGGTGTTCGTCTGTAGGGCCCACCAGGCCTGTTACTTATAAAGGAAATGCTAATGCATGTGCCACATGAAGTCACTATGAGACAGTAGTGTGCTACAGAGCTAGTTCAGAACACCCCTCAAGGAAGGTTCCTTGATGTTGGTGAGAGGCTCTTGATTTAGGGAATTGAATCTGGGCTCCAGTTCCCCGAATTAAGCCTGAATGCCTTCCACATCCCCCCCCAGGCGCTGTATAATCCTCCTGGTTTAGCGCTTCCCCTTGATTATAATAATAATAATAGTTCAGAACAGCAGCCTTTGCCTCGGTATCTGCTCATTCATTACCCGGGAGTGCCAGATGGCCCGGGCTGCAACAGAATCCTGCATCCTTGTGCTAAGCATAAATCGAACCCGAATGCCTGCTATTCAAGTGTTTTATGACTCCTACAGGTTTAGCGTTTCTCCTTGAATGCAACAGCAACAGTAATAATAACAATAATTATATGGTAATTGGTTCTTAATCAAAGAATTCGGCTTATCCTCCCTTTCCTTGGATCGATCCTCATTACGTCTATTTCCTTCATCAGTTGTATGACCCCTACATACATGTTATTACACGCACATATTATCAATGAATGATGACACTCGGGTGAGAAGGTCACACCCCCTACTGGCTCAACCAATAAGGAAAAGCATGGAAAAACCTAAAATACAGATTGTATCTTGTAAACATAGCTAATAGACGTGTCCATAATTTCCCTAATGAAATAAACTATGTAAAATAAACTACATGTACAACCCAATATTAATATCATAAATAAAATATACACACACACACACATATATATATTATAAATATATATATATATAAAATATATATATATATATATAATATATATATATATATATATATATATATATATATAATGAAAATCAATTATGTTAAGACAGTTAAAAGTATAAGTTAAAATAAAAATTATTTTATCAGTCTTTGACAAAATAATAAGGGACTGTAGTAAGGGACCTTTTTGTTCAGTGGAACACTTCACACGCTGAACAATGTCAGTGCAACAGGGATGAGAAACACTGAATAAACCCCAAGTGCCACATTAGCAACTTTGTTTAAGAGTGAGGAATCTTTACTAGATCTGTTCATCCCCTCCAAATCGCACTCCTGGGGTGCCACTGTCGTCTGGCCCTACTGTGGTGCCACTGGCGTCTGGTCCTCCTGGGGTGACACGGTTCTTTCATCTTCCTAGGGTGACACTATCCTTTGATGCTCCTGGGATGACTATGTTCCTTGATCCTCCTGGGGTGACACTATCCCTTTGCACTCCTGGGGTGACACTGTCCCTTGATCCTCCTGGGATGGCACTGTCCCTTGGTCCTCCTGGGATGACACTGTCCCTTGGTCCTCCTGGGATGACACTGTCCTCTGCTCCTGGGGTGGCACTGTCCCTTGGTTCTCCTGGGGTGACATTGCCCCTTGATCCTCCTGGTGTGACACTGTCCCTTGCCCCTCATCGAGTGACACTGTTCCCTGTCCCTCCTGCGGTGACACTATCCTCTATTCCTCCTTGGGTGACTCTGTCCTTTGGACCACATCGGGCTCAGGTTCAGCCTCGGCCGACTCCTCAGGCTCGTGTTCGGCCTCGGCCTTAAGCAACTCCTCGGGATTCGATTCGGGCTCGGCTTCGGACGACTCCTCGGGTTCGGGTTTGGCCTCGGCGTCGGATGGCTCATCGAGCTCAAGTTTGGCCTCGAGCAACTCCTCGGGTTCGAGTTCGGCCTCGAGTGACTCCTCGGGTTTGGGCTTAGCCTCGAGCAACACCTCGAGTTCAGGTTCGGTCTCGACCTCCGACAACTCCAAGGGTTCGGGTTTGGCCTCGGGCAACTCCCCGGCTTCGGGTTCTGCCTTGGCCTATCCTTCAGGTTCGGCCTCGGGCGACTCTTCGGGTTCGGCCTCAGGCGACTCTTCGGGTTCGGCCTCGGGCGACTCTTCGGGTTCGGCCTCGGGCGACTCTTCGGTCTCGGCCTCGGGCGACTCTTCGGTCTCGGCCTCGGGCGACTCTTCGGGCTGGGCCTCGGGCGACTCTTCGGGCTCGGCCTCGGGCGACTCTTCAGGCTCGTCCGACTCTTCGGACTCGGCCTCGGGCGACTCTTCGGGTTCGGCCTTGGGAGACTCTTCGGGTTCGGCCTTGGGCGACTCTTCGGGTTCGGACTCTGTCGACTCCTCGGGTTTGGACTCGGCCTCGGGCGACTCTTCAGGCTCGGCCTCGGGCGACTCTTCAGGCTCGGCCTCGGGCGACTGTTCGGGCTCGGCCTCGTGCGACTCTACGGGCTCAGCCTCGGGCGACTCTACGGGCTCAGTTTTGAGCGACTTTTCAGGCTCGGCCTCAGGTGACTCTTCGGGCTCGGCCTCGGGCGACTCTTAGGGTTCGGCCTCGGGTGACTCTTCGGGCTCGGCCTCGGGCGACTCTTCGAGCTCGGCCTCGGGCGACTCTTCGGGCTCGGCCTCGGGCGACTCTTCGAGCTCGGCCTCGGGCGACTCTTCGGGCTCGGCCTCTGGCGACTCTTCGAGCCGGGCCTCAGGCGACTCTTCGGGCTCGGTCTCGTGCGACTCTTCAGGCAACTCTTCGGGCGACTCTTCGGGCTCAGCCTCGGGCGATTCTTCGGGTTCAGCCTCGGGCGACTCTTCAGGTTTGGCCTCTTGCGACTCTTCGGGCTCGGCCGACTCTTCGGGCTCGGCCGACGCTTCGGGCTTGACCTCAGGCGACTCTTCGGGTTCGGCCTCGGGCGACTCTTCGGGTTCAGAATCAGTTGACTCCTCGGGTTTGGACTCGGCCTCGGGCGACTCTTCAGGCGACTCTTCGGGCTCAGCCTCGGGCGATTCTTTGGGCTCGGCCTCGAGCGACTCTTCGGTTTCGGCCTCGGGCGACTCTTCGGGCTAGGCCGAGGGGGACTTTTCGAGTTCGACCTCCGGCGACTCTTCGGGCGACTCTTCGGGCTCAGCCTCGGGCGATTCTTCGGGCTCGGCCTCGGGCGACTCTTCGGATTCGGCCTCGGGCGACTCTTCGGATTCCGCCTCGGGCGACTCTTCGGATTCGGCCTCGGGCGACTCTTCGGATTCCGCCTCGGGCGACTCTTCGGGCTCGGCCTCGGGCGACTCTTTGGGTTCAGACTCAGTCGACTCCTCGGGTTCAGACTCGGCCTCGGGCGACTCTATGGGCTCAGCCTCTCGCAATTCTACGGGCTCATCCTCGGGCGACTCTACAGGCTCGGTCTCGAGCGACTCTTCGGGCTCGGCCTCGGGCGACTCTTCGGGCTTGGCCTCGGGCGACTCTTCGGGCTCGGCCTCGGGCGACTCTTCGGGCTCGGCCTCGGGCGACTCTTCAGGTTCGGCCTCGGGCGAGTCTTCGGGTTCGGCCTCGGGCGACTCTTCGGGTTCGGCCTCGGGCGACTCCTCAGGTTCGGTCTCGGTCTCGGGCGACTCTTTGGGTTCGGCCTCGGACGATTCTTCGGGCGATTCCTAGGATTCGGGTTCGGCCTTGGCCTGACAATCCTCAAGTTTGTTTTCGCCCTACAAGAGTTCGTCCTCGCTCGCCTTGGGAATGTCCTCCCTCTATAATTTATTACACAGATCCATAATAACGTAGTAGAGGACAATTATCAATACAATGGCTTACACAGGCAGTGTAAGTAGGGCTAGGGCAATCATCTTTCCTGATGGTTTACGAATACCACTAAGGCTCACTCCCTTGTCCTCTAGCAAAGCGAATTCTTGCAAAGAGAAGAAATTGACGATATTGGTAACGTCTCCGAGGTCATCGTCGGAGACGGGGACTCTGGGTCGCAACAACCAGGCGCCCAGTCTGGTAGATCGTAGACTACCAGGCTATAATGCGTCCTGAATTCTCAAACGCATCTCAAAATTCGCTTGTTTGATATTTTATCTCACATGACAAATATAGATAACATCTACAATGAGGATGACTATCGATACCAACAGAAGTTACGTCGTGAAATTACACATTTTGTTAAAGTTATTTTCTAAGTAATTTCCTTAACGAACTTACTGTTATTATCATATTGGTAAAAAAAAGTTGCTTAAATGGAACTAACGTTATTTACAACTTTGTAAATATTGAACTTTGTTAACAAACTTGATTTAAGCATCAAAGAAACTTGTGACGACATTTCAGTCAGACTTGGAAAATTATCTTCTTACACTGAATTACGAATATGTATTTCTCAGTGTAATGGGAAATATGTGCATGTGAGTATGGCAGTAAAGATGTGTGCATTTCTTAGTGGAGATGTGCACTTAGTAGTGAAGATGTGTGTTTCTTAGTGGAGATGTGCGTTTAGTAGTGAAGATGTGCGTTTAGTAGTGAAGATGTGTGTTTCTTAGTGGAGATGTGCACTTAGTAGTGAAGATGTGTGTTTCTTAGTGGAGATGTGCGTTTAGTAGTGATGTGCGTTTCAGAGTGGAGATGGGCTTTAGTAGTGAAGATGTGCGTTTAGTAGTGAAGATGTGCGTTTCTTAGTGGAGATGTGCGTTTAGTAGTGATGTGCGCTTCAGAGTGGAGATGGGCTTTAGTAGTGAAGATGTGCGTTTAGTAGTGAAGATGTGCGTTTCTTAGTGGAGATGTGCGTTTAGTAGTGATGTGCGTTTCAGAGTGGAGATGGGCTTTAGTAGTGAAGATGTGTGTTTAGTAGTGAAGATGTGCGTTTCTTAGTGGAGATGTGCGTCTAGTAGTGAAGATGTGTGTTTTATAGTGAATATGTGCGTTTATTAGTGACGATGTGCATTTCTTAGTGGATATGTGCGTTTAGTAGTGAAAATGTGCGTTTCATAGTGAAAATGTGCGTTTATTAGTGACGATGTGCGTTTAGTAGTTTACATTTGCGTTTAATAGTGAAGGTGTGTGTTTAGTTGTGTGTTTAGTAGTGAATATGTGCATTAAGTAGTGAAGATGTACGTTTAGTAGTGACGATGTGCTTTTCATAGTGAAGATGTGCGTTTAGTAGAGAAATGTGCGTTAAGTGAAAATAGGAGTTTCCTAGCGTAGATACTTGTTATTCGAGTGTGCGCGTGTGCGTGTGTGCGTGGATCAAAGTCTAGCGCAACCTGGACTCCAAGGTATTGGTCCAGTGTGGGTAGATTGGTAAAGCACTGTGTACCTTGTTCCAAGGTTCGTAGGTTCGAGTCTCCTTCAGCCAGAGATCAGTGTTTGTGTATATTTCGCCTGCTCTTGCGAATTCCTTGCATTGTTAATATCTCTAGTAAGGCTGATGCATGCAGGGGATGAGATGAAAAGCTGTAAGCCTTCTCCCTAGAAAATGCCGTGCCCATATGACAACAGCAAAATGCAAACTCCCTTCTTGTAAGCTTTTTCACCCTGAAATGTGTCCCTCTTCAGTACAGGAAAGACTGTGCATTAACTTAAATTGCCAGGCATACCATCTAAAGGGGACAAAAAGATACAAAACATCCAGGCCATGGGAAAACCTGGGTAGCCACAGCCACTCAAGAGGGAGAGGTTTTTTAGTGCCAGGAAGGAAAAAACTGGCAGGAAATGGCAGAAATCGTATGCCGTTGTTGTCTATACTATATATCAATGATCTTGATGAGGGAATTACTAGTGATATGAGCAAATTCGCCGATGACACAAAGATAGGTAGGATAATTGATTCAAACGTAGATGTTATGGAACTTCAGGAGGATTTAAACAAACTCTATTCTTGGTCAGAAAAGTGGCAGATGCAGTTCAATGTAGATAAATGCAAGGTTCTGAAGCTTGGGAGTGCCCATAACCCTAGTACTTATAAGTTAAATGATGTAGAACTTAGCCATACAGATTGCGAAAAGGACTTGGGGGTTATGGTGAGCAGCAACCTTAAACCAAGACAGCAATGCCTAAGCGTACGTAATAAGGCAAATAGATTACTGGGATTTATATCAAGAAGTGTAAGCAACAGAAGTCCAGAGGTCATACTGCAGCTTTATACATCATTAGTAAGGCCTCACCTAGATTATGCAGCTCAATTCTGGTCTCCATACTACAGAATGGACATAAATTCGTTAGAAAACATTCAGCGTAGGATGACTAAATTAATACATAGCATTAGAAATCTTCCTTATGAAGAAAGATTGAAGACTCTTAAGTTACATTCACTTGTTAGACGAAGAATGAGGGGAGACCTGATCGAAGTGTATAAGTGGAAGATAGGTATTAATAAAGGGGATATTAATAAGGTCTTGAGGATGTCTCTCCAAGAGAGGACCTGCAGTAATGGATTTAAATTAGATAAGTTTAGATTTAGAAAGGACATAGGAAAGTATTGGTTTGGAAATAGGGTAGTTGATGAGTGGAACAGTCTACCTAGTTGGGTTATTGAGGCTAGGACTTTGGGTAGTTTCAAATTTAGGTTGGATAAGTACATGAGTGGGAGGGGTTGGATTTGAGTGGGACTTTCACATCAGAGCTTATTTCTAGGGTGGCATTGAAAATTGGGTTGGGCAAATGTTTTGTTAGTGGGATGAATTGTAAAGGACCTGCCTAGTATGGGCCAGCAGGCCTCCTGCAGTGTTCCTCCTTTCTTATGTTCTTATGTTCTTATGCCAAATCCAGTTATTTCTGGAGTGGAACCACAGTCGATGGCCTCCACTCCAAACCAACAGATACAGATACTAATGCCGGAAAAAAGAGTCCCTCCCAGTACCACCAATACCACCAGTCCGATGGCATTCTTCTTTGCAAATATACAGGGTCTAAAGCCAGCAACGAACAAAATACCTTTCATCCGTGGACTGCTTGCAGAGGCAAATGCAATGTTCGCGGCTTTCACAATGACCCATATAAAGGATCACTTGGACAACGAAATATGGATCCCAGGCTACAACCTATACAGATGCGACAGAGTGAACAGGCAAAAGGGGATGGGGGATTGGCCTGTACATTGCAGAGTCACTTGTTTGCACAGAACTGCTTAATGCCTCAAATGAGGCAGCTCGGACGAGAACTCACACATACACGAGCTTTTAAATCTCTGCACAAAATTCAACTTAAACCAGCAAATAATAGAGCCTACTAGACTGGAGAATACACTAGACCTCACCTTCACTAACAATGATGATCTGATACGAAATGTCACCATATCAAAAACAATATACTCAGATCACAATATAATCGAAGTTCAGACATGTATGTGCACAGCCCCAGACCGACATAATGAGATTAGTCACGAGGGAGCATTCACCAAATTCAACTTCAATAACAAGAACATAAAGTGGGACCAAGTAAACCAAGTCCTAACCGATATAAGCTGGGAAGATATACTAAGCAACACAGACCCCAACTTATGCCTAGAACAGATTAACTCGGTGGCACTCGATGTATGCACAAGGCTTATTCCTCTAAGAAAAAGGAGGAGTAGATGTAAAATAGAAAGAGACAGGCGCTCCCTTTACAGGCGACGAGAAAGAATAACATTTTGTAAGTATTAAAATAATACAAAAATGAACCAAGAAGCGCTAAGCCACAAGGGTTATACAGCGCTGCGACACATTGCAAAGGGATTTAACTTTCAATACCTACATTCCTGAGTTTTCTGAGAAAGAACAGTCGTTCTAGATCACTAGTTTTTACAATGAAACATTCTGAAGCAATTTCTATCCTTCTTGATACATAGATTTAAATTAATAAATAGGTTAATAAATAGATAATAAATTCAAATTAATAAATAAATAAATAAATAAATAAATGACACAGGAAAATGAGGATTTGACATATTGTTCGTGCTGCAAAACTTGCATGTAAGTAGCTTGCCTGACACTGGCCAGTGACACAAGGTTGTGTCAAACCTCACACTGTCATCTGGCCTTTCTGCACGTTGGTACTGCATTGCAGATGGCAATTGCAAGGATGGCAAATCATCATTACTGTCACCATTGGAAGTCCTTGATGAAGGTGTTCACCTTCTTGAACTTCTTCTTATGATGCTGCATCTCAACGTTTGTCCTTTGGATCTTGCAGTGATAGAGATGTCAAGCCTGAATAGCCTCAGTGGCCTGCATTTGGTATTTAGTGACCGACATTCACAACAGCAAGATCCAGAACATAGGCAAACAGGCGCATGTACCAACGTTTAGATTTCAAAGGTGTTTTGTACAGATGCACCAACATGTTACTTTTGTCAGTACATCCCATGTGTGCATTATAGATCTTGATGACTGCAGGGCACTGGAACTCGTTTTTCATCCTTGTTTCCTTGTTATATCTTTCAATAGGAGTCATAGGATTAACCCCCACATCATTGGTCACTAAAGCCACAACTTTGCTCTCCTTCCATCTTACAACAAGGTTACCATCATTGGTTTTGAAATCAAAAATGCCCCTGGGCACTATGTTCTTCTCAGTTTGTTTGACAGGCATCAGTTCTGGCTTGCTACATCTATAGTTATGTGTACACAGGCATAGTTAGGTGTACACAGGCATAGTTAGGTGTACACAGGCATAGGTGTACACAGGCATAGGTGTACACAGGCATAGTTAGGTGTACACAGGCATAGTTAGGTGTACACAGGCATAGTTAGGTGTACACAGGCATAGTTAGGTGTACACAGGAATAGTAAGGTGTACACAGGCATAGTGTGCACACACCACCAGTGCCACTCACACCAGTCCACTAACACCCAGGATGTGACTCACACCAGTCCACTAACACCCAGGATGTGACTCACACCAGTCCACTAACACCCAGGATGACTCGCACGAGCCCACTAACACCCAGGATGTGACTCACACCAGTCCACTAACACCCAGGATATGACTCACACCAGTCATTAGGGCTGTTCAGCCTATCACTTTCCACCACTTTATTCAGTCGTGGTTCTAATACTCTATATCCCTTGGTGATAACGTTCACTCTTTTGTAAATTTCTCCTCGTCAGGAAGACATCTTTTTCTCTTCGAAGTCCGAGTTTCTGGGCGAGATGAATTAAGTTCATCTTGTGGGACGATCTTATCCTCAGAACTTAAAGTTCTCTTTCTTTTTTCTGCCCGAGTCTCTGTGCGAGAAGAACTTTTCGAGTTTCTAAGTGACATTGGGCGTTATATCGCCTCATTTTTCTCACTGTACAGAGAATGTTATGTACTACACGACACTGTATCGCCAGATAATATTTTTACCCGTTTTGCGACGCATTCTTCTTCTTCTTCTAGTACACAACGTTTTCTCTTGCCAGTTCGACTCTCTGCATCTACCAAGCTCGGAGGTGACATCTTATCATCATCCATCTCTTTTTTTCCTGCAGTTTTATCCTCTGTAACGGATGAATACATTTTAACTGCGAGTTCAAGGGATTCCTCGCACAACGACGGTTCTTGCTTCACCTCCTCTTCTGTATTTTTCCTGGGTATATGTTTAAAATATGTAAAGTAAGAGTCCAGAAAGTTTATTATTAAATCTAGCTCGGCCCTTTCCTGAGGGTTTTCAGACTTACCTGCAGTGGTCCAGTGTCTTAAAGGTAAACCGGTGACCTTAGGTTTGATCTTCATGTGTGAAGTCATAACAGCTAAACTGTATATGTCAGTCTGAGGAGTACAAGGCTCGGCTCTCTACATCTCAGGTGCGTCTCTCTCCTGCCTTTTTCCTCTGTATAGCTGCTCGTACCTTTTCCGTACAACGTATCCAAAAGGTAGTGCCAGACAAAAATCTATTAGAGTGACAATGTACTTATGGCCCTCTTTCATAGGCACTGTTCTAACGGCGAAGTTAGCCAGTTTGATGTTGTTATGACAATAACCCAGTTAATGTAATCTCTGTACAATACGAAATGATTACAACAGTAAATCCAGCTTAATCAATTCATTCACATCATTTTTTTCTAAAAACCTTTCTAAATCTTCGCCACAATAAACTGTGACAATCTGATTAGTTTCGAGGGATATACCAATCAGAGGAACTTTACCTTCCATGTCACCAAGACGGGTCAAAATCACTCCTTCATTAATGATTTATCTCCGTGATGCCGTCTTTATAACAATTTCTGATCCTGGACCAGAATACAAGGAAGCCACTTTATCAAGTTTTATCCTCTCCTTGCCTTCCACGAGAACTTCAAGTTCCTGTATACTGAGAAGAGGAACACCTTCCTCCACAGGGTCTGGAATGGGAAAAAACTTTCGGCTAGTCATATTTAAGTAGAGAATACAAATTATCTTACTTTTGCTTAAAATGTAATAAATAATAAGCACAATATTAAATTAGTTATAATGGATGTATATTGTGTAGATAACTGCTCTGATATACCAGGTGTGTTCTGTAGTGTTCTGGAATGTATGCTGTGACGTGCTCTGTATTAAGTGATGTGTGCCATAGGGATGTGTGAATAGGGCATATATGATTTATTGATGAATGATGAAATGATGTGATGTGTCACGCAGTGAAGTATAATGTTGTGATGTGTTGTAGTGAAGTTATAATGTTGTGATGTGTGTTGTGTTGTAGTGAAGTATAATGTTGTGATGTGTGTTGTGTTGTAGTGAAGTATAATGTTGTGATGTGTGTTGTGTTGTAGTGAAGTATAATGTTGTGATGTGTGTTGTGTTGTAGTGAAGTATAATGTTGTGATGTGTGTTGTGTTGTAGTGAAGTATAATGTTGTGATGTGTGTTGTGTTGTAGTGAAGTATATGTTGTGATGTGTGTTGTGTTGTAGTGAAGTATAATGTTTGTGATGTGTGTTGTGTTGTAGTGACGTATAATGTTGTGATGTGTGTTGTGTTGTAGTGAAGTATAATGTTGTGATGTGTGCTGTAGTGAAGTATAATGTTGTGATGTGTGTTGTGTTGTAGTGAAGTATAATGTTGTGATGTGTGTTGTAGTGAAGTATAATGTTGTGATGTGTGTTGTGTTGTAGTGAAGTATAATGTTGTGATGTGTGTTGTGTTGTAGTGAAGTTATAATGTTGTGATGTGTGATGTGTGTTGTGTGAAGTATAATGTTGTGATGTGTGTTGTTGTGAAGTATATGTTGTGATGTGTGTTGTGTTGTAGTGAAGTTATAATGTTGTGATGTGTGATGTGTTGTAGTGAAGTTATAATGTTGTGATGTGTGTTGTAGTGAAGTATAATGTTGTGATGTGTGTTGTGTTGTAGTGAAGTATAATGTTGTGATGTGTGTTGTGTTGTAGTGAAGTATAATGTTGTGATGTGTGTTGTGTTGTAGTGAAGTATAATGTTGTGATGTGTGTTGTGTTGTAGTGAAGTATAATGTTGTGATGTGTGTTGTGTGTTGTAGTGAAGTATAATGTTGTGATGTGTGTTGTGTTGTAGTGAAGTATAATGTTGTGATGTGTGTTGTGTTGTAGTGAAGTTATAATGTTGTGATGTGTGATGTGTTGTAGTTGAAGTTATAATGTTGTGATGTGTGTTGTAGTGAAGTATATGTTGGTGATGTGTGTTGTAGTGAAGTATATGTTGTGATGTGTGTGTTGTGTTGTAGTGAAGTTATAATGTTGTGATGTGTGATGTGTTGTAGTGAAGTTATAATGTTGTGATGTGTGTTGTAGTGAAGTATAATGTTGTGATGTGTGTTGTGTTGTAGTGAAGTATAATGTTGTGATGTGTGTTGTGTTGTAGTGAAGTATAATGTTGTGATGTGTGTTGTGTTGTAGTGAAGTATAATGTTGTGATGTGTGTTGTGTTGTAGTGAAGTATAATGTTGTGATGTGTGTTGTAGTGAAGTATAATGTTGTGATGTGTGTTGTAGTGAAGTATAATGTTGTGATGTGTGTTGTGTTGTAGTGAAGTATAATGTTGTGATGTGTGTTGTGTTGTAGTGAAGTATAATGTTGTGATGTGTGTTGTGTTGTAGTGAAGTATAATGTTGTGATGTGTGTTGTGTTGTAGTGAAGTATAATGTTGTGATGTGTGTTGTGTTGTAGTGAAGTATAATGTTGTGATGTGTGTTGTAGTGAAGTATAATGTTGTGATGTGTGTTGTGTTGTAGTGAAAGTATAATGTTGTGATGTGTGTTGTAGTGAAGTATAATGTTGTGATGTGTGTTGTGTTGTAGTGAAGTATAATGTTGTGATGTGGTTGTGGTTGTAGTGAAGTATAATGTTGTGATGTGTGTTGTAGTGAAGTATAATGTTGTGATGTGTGTTGTGTTGTAGGAAGTATAATGTTGTGATGTGTGTTGTAGTGAAGTATAATGTTGTGATGTGTGTTGTGTTGTAGTGAAGTATAATGTTGTGATGTGTGTTGGTTTGTTGTAGTGAAGATAATGTGTGAGGTGTGTTGTAGTGAAGTATAATGTTGTGATGTGTGTTGTGTTGTAGTGAAGTATATGTTGTGATGGTGTGTGTGTAGTGAAGTATAATGTTGTGATGTGTGTTGTGTTGTAGTGAAGTATAATGTTGTGATGTGTGTTGTGTTGTAGTGAAGTATAATGTTGTGATGTGTGTTTGTGTTGTAGTGAAGTATAATGTTGTGATGTGTGATGTGTTGCAGTGAAGTATAATGTTGTGATGTGTGTTGTGTTGTAGTGAAGTATAATGTTGTGATGTGTGTTGTGTTGTAGTGAAGTATAATGTTGTGATGTGTGATGTGTTGTAGTGAAGTATAATGTTGTGATGTGTGTTGTAGTGAAGTATAATGTTGTGATGTGTGTTGTAGTGAAGTATAATGTTGTGATGTGTGTTGTGTTGTAGTGAAGTATAATGTTGTGATGTGTGTTGTAGTGAAGTATAATGTTGTGATGTGTGTTGTGTTGTAGTGAAGTATAATGTTGTGATGTGTGTTGTGTTGTAGTGAAGTATAATGTTGTGATGTGTGTTGTGTTGTAGTGAAGTATAATGTTGTGATGTGTGTTGTAGTGAAGTATAATGTTGTGATGTGTGTTGTGTTGTAGTGAAGTATAATGTTGTGATGTGTGATGTGTTGTAGTGAAGTTATAATGTTGTGATGTGTGTTGTAGAGAAGTATAATGTTGTGATGTGTGTTTGTAGTGAAGTATAATGTTGTGATGTGTGTTGTGTTGTAGTGAAGTATAATGTTGTGATGTGTGTTGTGTTGTAGTGAAGTATAATGTTGTGATGTGTGTTCTAGTGAAGTATAATGTTGTGATGTGTGTTGTGTTGTAGTGAAGTATAATGTTGTGATGTGTGTTGTAGTGAAGTATAATGTTGTGATGTGTGTTGTGTTGTAGTGAAGTATAATGTTGTGATGTGTGTTGTGTTGTTAGTGAAGTATAATGTTGTGATGTGTGTTGTGTTGTAGTGAAGTATAATGTAGTGATGTGTGTTGTAGTGAAGTATAATGTTGTGATGTGTGTTGTGTTGTAGTGAAGTATAAATGTAGTGATGTGTGTTGTAGTGAAGTATAATGTTGTGATGTGTGTTGTGTTGTAGTGAAGTATAATGTTGTGATGTGTGTTGTGTTGTAGTGAAGTATAATGTTGTGATGTGTGTGTGTTGTAGTGAAGTATAATGTTGTGATGTGTGTTCTACTGAAGTATAATGTTGTGATGTGTGTTGTGTTGTAGTGAAGTATAATGTTGTGATGTGTGTTGATAGTGAAGTATAATGTGTGATGTGTGTTTGTGTTTGTAGTGAAGTATAAATGTTTGTGATGTGTGTGTGTTGTAGTGAAGTATAATGTTGTGATGTGTGTTGTAGTGAAGTATAATGTTGTGATGTGTGTTGTGTTGTAGTGAAGTATAATGTTGTGATGTGTGTTGTGTTGTAGTGAAGTATAATGTTGTGATGTGTGTTGTAGTGAAGTATAATGTTGTGATGTGTGTTGTGTTGTAGTGAAGTATAATGTTGTGATGTGTGTTGTGTTGTAGTGAAGTATAATGTTGTGATGTGTGTTGTAGTGAAGTATAATGTTGTGATGTGTGTTGTGTTGTAGTGAAGTATAATGTTGTGATGTGTGTTGTAGTGAAGTATAATGTTGTGATGTGTGTTGTAGTGAAGTATAATTGTTGTGGATGTGTGTTGTAGTGAAGTATAATGTTGTGATGTGTGTTGTAGTGAAGTATAATGTTGTGATGTGTGTTGTAGTGAAGTATAATGTTGTGATGTGTGTTGTGTTGTAGTGAAGTATAATGTTGTGATGTGTGTTGTGTTGTAGTGAAGTATAATGTTGTGATGTGTGTTGTGTTGTAGTGAGTATAATGTTGTGTTGTGTGTTGTGTTGTAGTGAAGTATAATGTTGTGATGTGTGTTGTGTTGTAGTGAAGTATATGTTGTGATGTGTGTTGTGTTGTAGTGAAGTATAATGTTGTGATGTTGTGTTGTAGTGAAGTATAATGTTGTGATGTGTGTTGTAGTGAAGTATAATGTTTGTGATGTGTGTTGTAGTGAAGTATAATGTTGTGATGTGTGTTGTGTTGTAGGTGAAGTATATATGTTGTGATGTGTGTTGTGTTGTAGTGAAGTATATGTTGTGATGTGTGTTGTGTTGTAGTGAAGTATAATGTAGTGATGTGTGTTGTAGTGAAGTATAATGTTGTGATGTGTGTTGTGTTGTAGTGAAGTATAATGTTGTGATGTGTGTTGTGTTGTAGTTAAGTATATTGTTGTGATGTGTGTTGTGTTGTTAGTGAAGTATAATGTTGTGATGTGTGTTGTAGTGAAGTATAATGTTGTGATGTGTGTTGTAGTGAAGTATAATGTTGTGATGTGTGTTGTGCTGTAGTGAAGTATAATGTTGTGATGTGTGTTGTAGTGAAGTATAATGTTGTGGTGTGTTTGTGTTGTAGTTGAAGTATAATGTTGTGATGTGTGTTGTGTTGTAGTGAAGTATAATGTTGTGATGTGTGTTGTAGTGAAGTATAATGTTGTGATGGCGTTGTGTTGTAGTGAGGTATAATGTTGTGATGTGTGTTGTAGTGAAGTATAATGTTGTGATGTGTGTTGTGTTGTAGTGAAGTATAATGTTGTGATGTGTGTTGTAGTGAAGTATAATGTTGTGATGTGTGTTGTAGTGAAGTATAATGTTGTGATGTGTGTTGTAGTGAAGTATAATGTTGTGATGTGTGTTGTGTTGTACTGAAGTATAATGTTGTGATGTGAGGTTGTAGTGAAGTATAATGTTGTGATGTGTGTTGTAGTGAAGTATAATGTTGTGATGTGTGTTGTAGTGAAGTATAATGTTGTGATGTGTGTTGTGTTGTAGTGAAGTATAATGTTGTGATGTGTGTTGTAGTGAAGTATAATGTTGTGATGTGTGTTTGTAGTGAAGTATAATGTTGTGATTGTGTGTTGTAGTGAAGTATAATGTTGTGATGTGTGTTGTAGTGAGTATAATGTTGTGTGTGTGTTGTAGTGAAGTATAATGTTGTGATGTGTGTTGTGTTGTAGTGAGGTATAATGTTGTGATGTGGTTGTAGTGAAGTATAATGTTGTGATGTGTGTTGTGTTGTA